GCAGTGATCATGGAGCCCAAGAAAGTAAAATCTGTCACTGCCTCCATATCTTCCCCTTCAATTTCCCAGGAGGTGATGGGACCAGTGGCCATGATCTTAGTTTTTTTGATGTTGAGTTTCAGGCTGTTTTTTGCACTCTCCTCTTTCACCCTCATTACAAGGTTCTTTAATTCTTCCTCACTTTCTGCCATCAGAGTGGTATCATCTGCATATTGGAGGTTGTTGATATTTCTTCCGGCAATCTTAATTCCGGCTTGGGATTCCTCCAGTCCAGCCTTCCGCATGATGTATTCTGCATATAAGTTAAATAAGCCAGGGGACAATATACAGCCTTGTCGTACTCCTTTTCCAATTTGAAGCAATCAGTTGTTTCATATCCAGTTCTAATTGTTGCTTCCTGTCCCACGTATAGGTTTCTCAGGAGACAGACAAGGGGGTCAGGCACTCCCATTTCTTTAAGGACTTGCCATAGTTTGCTGTGGTTCACACAGTCAAAGGCTTTTGCATAGTCAGTGAAGCAGAAGTATATGTTTTTCTGGATCTCTCTGGCTTTCTCCATAATCTAGCGCACGTTAGCAATTTGGTTTCTAGTTCCTCTGCCCCTTTGGAATCCAGCTTGTACTTCTGGGAGTTCTCAGTCCACATACTGCTGAAGCCTACCTTGTAGGATTTTGAGTATAACCTTGCTAGCATGTGAAATGAGTGCAATTGTACTGTAATGTCCTGCTTTACCTTTTCAATATATCTGTTTTCTTCGTTACCCCAATCAATGCATGTTTCAGGTGTTTATTGATATCTTTCCAGGATCTGCTTCTCTAAAGTGCAGTTCAATGCATTAAAATATACCTGTTTATGAGCATGAGAATCTCTCCCACTGATACTTTTAAATGCCAAACGTGACCTTGTTGCAGCACAGGTGTAAAGAATAAAGGAAGCTGGCTTTCTGAACAGCATCCTACTCCCTCCATTCAGGATGCATTGTGTGCAAGGACATTCAGGGATCACTGTGTCTCTCTGGTGGCTCCTATATATTCCAATAACCTTGTTTGTGTTCTGCCCATCGTGGCTGGATTCTGTGTGCTTGAAGGGGAAGGATGTCTGTCGTGCAAGTTTATCTGATACACACATGTACCAGGCCAGCCCCATCTGGTGCCTAGGAGTAGGTGCATTCCTGCCAATGTCTTTAATAACAAGGGGTGAAACTGCTATCGGATCGCAAGATATGCCTATGACCCGCGCAAAGTGATCTGTTTTTGTCTGCACGCCGCCGCTCTGTTTACATGTCAGGCACTGCTTTGGCACTGGGGTGAGAAGAAAGCATGAAGATGCCCTTGTGCCCCAGACGCTCCGCCGGTCAGGGCTAATGCCCCCTCACCCGGGTCCCTCACCCGGGTCCCAGCCGCCGCCGCCGCCGCCTCCCTCGCCCTCCCGGGGGCTCGCGTTCACCCATCCTTACCTGGCGCGGCAGCTTCCTCGGTCCCCGCGTCGTCCAGCCTATTCGCCTGCCCGCTTCCCTCCTCC